GATTTTGACATCAGACAACTCACTGTATCCTTACTTAGTTTGCATAATGCAGTTTAATTGGTTGATAGGCTGTAACAGATCTGGTTGTCTCACAGTCAACATCTGAGATCATGGCTGTGATAGATGACTGCTTAAGAGTTTCTTATAACTCAAATTTACTGGCACAGTAGTGTCTTCCTTCCTCCCCATCACACTCCAGGCTGATATACACCACAATACATGTTGCTAAGGCCCACATAATGAAAGACCAAAATATTCCATGGCAGGGGTGGCCGAACTTACTGGCCCTCCGAGACACATATGACAATCTTCAGAAGTTTGAGAGCTGGGGCACGCCTGCCGGGTGCCAGAGCTCAGGCTTCAGCCCCACGGGAGGCACCTGATGGGGCTCAGGGCTTCAACCCTGCTCCTGCTGAAGCCCCGAGCCCTGGCAGGTGCACCCCGCAGGGCTGAAGCCCTGAGACCCCTCCTCCCCACTGGGCAGAAGCCCCTACTGAACCCCCCCGTTGCAAGGCAGAGGTCCTGAGCTGCCTCCCTTCCCCGGTCCGGTAGGTGGAGAATGGAGGAGGACTTGGGGGGGAGAGGGGCTCCACGAGCCGCACTTTAACAGTAACAGAGCCACAGTTTGGCCAGCCCTGTTCTATGGGATAGCTCACAGCATGGCAGTATAGTAAGAGTGGATAGCTGAATCTTCTCTTTATTTAGTATATTCGGAACACATGAACTGCCATACCAGAACAGACAAATAGACCAGCTAGTTTGGTATCCTCTCTTCAATGGTGGCTTATACCAGATAATTCAGAAGAGAGAACAAATCCCTACAATGTCCATTTACTTTAATTAGAGCTGGGTCAGGCCTGAAGTGCTGATACTATATTTAACACCTCTTAAATGTCAAAAAGCAACAAACAGCAAAAAGCTCTAACCTTGATCTAACACTGCCTCAATTTTTGTCATATGTAGTTTTTTGTAGACAATGTAATAAATTGAGGGGGCAGATACATGCAAAATGTTCTCAGAATTTAAATAAAATTCTAGGACTGTGAACCTCTCACTGGTAGGCGGTATAATTGTGTTAATTAGAGAATAACTATTAAATGCATGCTTTTCTTTTGATGCAGGCTGACTTGTGCTGTGGGCGCACACATGTGGTGACGACACAGGAAAGGAAATAGAACACTAGGTTTGTTGGTAGTTAGAGAGTTTTATAAGTTTTTTGTAAAAGCTTTTTAGGAAAACTTTTTTTGGGGTTTTTATTATTTTTTTAACTTTGTTTACAATTTTTTTTAGTGGTTACATTTTTGGGCAAACAGAAGGCAGGCAGTATACATGCACATGAGATTACAAACCCATCTCTTGAGCACGTGAACACCAGCTGCAAAGATGATGTCAGGTTGCCAATAAGTTTTCCAAACATAGGCGCTAGGACAAGGTCATTCCTGCCTCGTTGCCAAGGGAACAGTTTGCCGTTCTCGTGGGCGTACGATTCGGGAACAACACATTCCTACACACACACACACACACACACACACTTTCACTCTCTCTGTCTCTCTCCAGGTCCAATTTTTAAAAAGACAACCTTTTTATGTCAGGACTCCTTAGGTTCAACACCCCTTGAATATCAAGGACTACGCCTGTTTAAAACATACAGTGACCTCTAAGGGGATGTTAAAAGTGTAGCAAACACTGCAGACTGCAAACAAAGAAAAGGGAGGCCAGTTCTGAAAAAATAAGACTCTGCATTATGTATACAGACAGCTATGAATCACACACACTACCATTATCTATTGCTTGCTGAATTTTGGTAAGTCATTTCAATGGTAATTTTATATAGGAACCCAATATCCTTAAATACATATGCACACATTGCATTATCTTTGTTTTGCATGTCAGTAGTATCTAGAGTTGCCACCAGTCCAAGTTTTACCTGGACAGTTGGTTTTTGACTGCAAAGTCCGGTCAAAAAGAGAACTTAGCAACCCTAAATGGCACCCGAACCAGAAGTCCAGTTACTGTGGGGAAGCACCGGGTCATTAATCCGTGCCAGCCCCTGCTCAGCTGGGGCTGCGTCCTACCTGCAGGCAGGCTCCTTGAGACGATCCAGCGAGTAACGGGGGGAGGAGGGAAGAGGAGCGAGTGATGGGGCAGGGCTTTGGGGGAAAGGCAGAGCAAGGGTGGGGCATTGAGGGGGATGGGAGGGGCAGAGGGTAGGGCTTTGGGGTCCAGTTACCAGCTATTAGAAAGGTAGCAACCCTACTAGTATAATTTTGAATATGTTTCAGTCCTAGAAGTTCAGAACTGGTCTTGGAATTCTGACAATTCTTGGAATTGTACCCAATGTGTGTGGGAATGGGAGTTTGAATGTTTACAATTCATAGCAGTAGTGCTACTTGAATGAGCAGTTGTAACTATATCTAGAAGTGGTCCACTGCTCGCTGTTCCCATAAACATAAAACAGAGCACTGAATACTAGAATTCAGACACTTTCTAGTTTTTCCAGAGATGGTACTAAGTATATAAATTCATTATAGTCTAAATAAAAAATGAAGCCAAATCCATAAAGTGGTTGAAAATTTCTTGGTGGATTATAAACATCTTCATGCAAACAACATAAAATTGTTTCCATTCTGGGCTGAAAATGCACAATACATGAAACAGACAAAGAAAAAACAAGCAAACTGACTGACTAGTCAGCCATCCAAGCCCTGTAATTTCACTTTAAAGATTATGGGGGGGGGAGGGGAATGTATAATCTGTTATTTTAATACTTCATTACTTTTCATGTAAGATTCAATACAAGAGTTTAGATTCACAAATAATTCAGCATTCATGACAATATACACAGCATCTGCAATAAGCACAAAATATACACACATTTATTTTAAACATAAATCACGTATTACTCACAAAATAATCAAGGGAGTCTCAAATAGCTGGCTACAATTTTTCTGTTACAGAATGGAGACTGCACCTACAGAATATTTCAGCCCCATACATTGATCTCATGAAATTACTTTTTGGCAGAAAGCTCAGGTCATCAAGGTTTAAGCCACTTAAAGATTTAGGGTTTGATCCTGCAGCTATGAAGCCAATGGCAAAGATCCAAAGATTTGGTGTGGCTGATGCAGGATCAGGCTCATAAGCAGTGTAATTTTATACAAGTAGCAAAAAAAAAAAAAAATGATTAAAAATGCCAGTAAGCAAATATTTTCTCCATAGTCTATTTGGTTAATGTTCTAAACCTAAATACAGATTAGCCAGATTAAACAAATTATTATTTACAAATTGCTAGCATTGGAAAAAAATATTAAATCAAATTTCTTTAGAGAAACTCCACAGAACATAGGTTTAATCGAGATCACGATGAATGAGACTAGTTCCCTTATCACTTAGGTCTTTCACTATAGTAGTGACATTTTTAAAAATGGTTTTTTACAGTTTCCGGAAACCACCATTCATTATCATTCAGTGACCATTCATGGCAGGAAAATTAAACTGTCTACTAAAGACATATATGCCCTCTACATAGTTTAAATGGCCTTGGCATCAGACAAAGAGCTGAGGGAAAGACCATGAAAGAGACCACTTTACTAAACCTTTTCCTACATTGTGGTGCAATGGTCAAATAATAGAGCTGCAACAGCATGTGAAAACAGCTTACTGCTTTAAAACAAAAAAGTTATTACAGCTGGTGCCCAGTCATGTGATTTACATGGATTCTATGTTATAAAGCGAGGATTGTGTTACACAGACACTGTTAAAATGCTGGCGTAGGTGTATTATTCAGATGCTTTTGTTACTAGAGTTCCACAATGCTAGATGGAAAACATCTGAGTTATATAGAGATGCTGTCTAGTCCAGGCTCTCTCTCTCTCTCTCTCTCTCACACACACGCACACACACACCATTTTAAAAGCTACTGCACAGTAAATACAAAGAGCTACACATAATCAAAACAACACAGCAGATCACTTAAACCAATAGAACCATCAGTCTTCATAATATATAGTTTATAAGGTGGAAAATAATGTACACATATTATACATAATACAAATCAGTTGCTGATCATATGGGACATGCATAGCTATACTCATATTGTATGTGCATTTGCTATATTAAGAAATTATCTCCCATTGAGACAGTCTACCACTTAAAGATTCTAAGTACTTATAATGAGGAAAATCAGTCGAGACTTTTTTTAAAAATATCTTCTATATATGCTTTTGTTCTTAATTTACAGTTAAAAAACAGGATGCAAAAGCTGTTGTTGACTAAATTATTTTAGAAACAGTATGTTCTTGTCTGAAATTTGGTTGCCAAGTGCAATTTAGCAGCTGTGGTTTCAATTATTTATTACAATAGCACCCATAGGCCCCAAATCAGGATCAGGTCCCAACTGTGCTAGGCATTCAAGGGTTTTAATTACACTGTGTCAAAACAGATTATTCAAGATTGATGGAAAGCAGCTTGGAAGAATTGTGCCATTTTTCTCCTATTAATTCACTTAACATTAAAAGTGGTGAGTAGAAAATCACATTTGAGAGCCCTTTATCTGTTTTACATTCAGTAATTTTATCTTTACAGAAAACTGACTTACTATACTACTGTATTCCAGCAACCTACAGTAGTTGCCACGTGTATCCCTGACACACTCCTTTAGGAAAATCAAACACTTCCTTCTCTTTAAAAGCATTTAATTGATGAATATTAAGATTGGATCTCTTCCTACACCCTCATAATAAGACTCTGCTGGGACTGAAGAAAATACAATAAATTGGACACTAGGTAATTTCTTTAAAAGGTCTACTCCACAGTCAGAAGAAATCTTAGCTCCAAGAACTCTTATATCGTACATGAGGGGGGGGGAAAAGGCATAGCACTATGTTCAACATGAGTTTACCCCAACTTCTATTTTGGGTAGCAAACATCCAGCTCATTCGCTTATTGTAGTCCTCATATAAAACTTTCAGCCTTGGAGACAGAAAAAAAAGCATACCTACCTTAGAGTGCAATTCTGCTCATCAGTGTTAGTTTTGGAGGAAATACACTCCCCATCTTCCCCTGAATCCTCGGTTTGCCTCCTTACTTCAACTGTGACTTCCTGGAAAGGGTTTATAACATAGTAAGACACCAAGTCATCAAGTTTCAGTCTCCTGGAAATATATTATTATGGAACCTCTTATTTGTGGGTTCGCTCTGCTTGAGCATACATAAAGTCAGTAACGTAACATGTCTTATGCTGGTTTGGCTTCAAGGGTTGTATAGTATGCCATGTGACATCTTCTATGGCACTACGAACCTCGCTGTGCTCATGTTACTAATTTATCTCACTGGTCTAGAAGGAAACACTTAAATATAATATTTATAAACCTTAGCAACTTCTGTTTGCCAAAGCCAAAATATTGTAAAAAACTTACCCTAGCCTTGTTAGCATTTTAATACAGGCAAGCATTTGAGGACTTCTGAACTTCTTTCTGTGTTCTGTTTCTCAATAAAACACTTAAGATTGACCTTCCAGAATTGTATTACCTCAGTACCTTCAAACAACCACACCCAAAGTCTAACACTGTATTAGAAACTCTGAACTCATGGGAAATACAATTGCACTGGGTACTCAAACCAACTAAATTATACACGTGATGTATGTAAAATACCTTTAATTTTCTTTAAATCTAATAGATTTTGTTATATACATCTACAATGCACCCAGCACTGTATTATCCAAGTGATTAAACAGTGGGTTTTGGCGTTGGGTTTTTTTTTTTTTTTTTTTTTTTTTTTTTTTTGGGGTTGGGTGGGGAGGGAGGGTTGGGTTTGTTTTATTTTGTGCCAATCCAAGTAGCCTCCACTGAACTTGATACTAACAAAATCAATGCATGTATGGTATATATTACAGGATGATTTTTATTGCTGGATGGGCAATAAAAGAGGAATAATTCAGCTATTCCTGCCTCTTCAGAATAAAATTTCTGCTTTTGAAAACAGTCACTTGTAAGCTACAGCCCAGAAGATTATTTATACAGGTAACTCCTCCCCCCATCACTCCAAAAATCCTAGTGAAGACTTTTGTTTAAATTAAAACCAAACTCTAGACCAAGTGAGTTTTTTCCTAAGGGATCTCTTATCTTGTCTGAAACTACTGTTTAAATTTTGACTCCTAGATTTTTTTTTCTTAAAACGGGGCAAAGGGAGTTGAAGAGCAGGAAATGAGAGAGGAAGGGAAAAGGGGGAGGAATGTTATAAATATGTGATACCCTGTTTTGTTTTTAACTTGAGCCCAATATTTTGTATTTGCAGAGGAGGCAGTTCAGCTCAAATTGACGGCCCCCCCCCCCCCCCCCCACTAGGATCCCTTACACATGAGGCAATCTTGCAGCAGCTTTAATATGCCTTTAAAATAACAATAGCACAAGGGTCAGTCATTCAGTTTCTCTCACCTGCCAACTGTCCCCTCACTCACACTGCAAAGTTAAAAATTAACTTGTTCTTTGCTTGTGAGCTGAGCAGACTTTTGGCATCTCTCTGAGGATTAGATTTCTTTTAATCACTCATACACAATAGAAGGGCCACCTATTTTTTCTTTAAGTTGTATTAACATTTATTACATCCTTGGATTTTCAAACATAACCATTAAGGTGAGACAGCGAGTGCTGCAGTATCTGGTTATTTGACCAAGAGAATTTAAAAGAAAGAGGAGAATTGGTAGCGCACCAACCAAGTCACTTTCCTGGGTGGTGATTGCATACTGTTCCTCCTTGCAGTGCTTTTTCCATCTTCGAGTTCTATGGGGCCAGAAGACATCTGAACTGGGGAAGGGGGTTAGGGAAGCAGATGTCATGTTGGGTGAGGGTTTATTGCCATCATCCTCCCCTCATCCCTATTGTAAAGTATGAGATATAGTTAGGCTCAGCAGAATTCAATTTTTAAAATAATTTTGATAGATAATATTGATGTTTATTTTTAACCATTTTTTCCTATTTTTATCTATTTAAATTTTCACAGTTGAAGGAAATTATGGGGGAATCAAGCCATGGTCGGGATCAAATAGTAATTATTTAATGATAATAAATATTGAGATTCCAAAAGTGTAAGGTTTTTAACCATTAAAACACAAATTGTCAACATCAAATATCAAAATATACAAAACAAATATCCTTAAATCAAACTCTAATAAATTCTCAAGCAGCATTTTTCTTACTTTACCTATTTGAATTTCTATTGTCATTGATGGAAATATCCTTTTTGTTGGTTTGTGTGTATCCGGTGAAATCGACGTTTACAAATATTTACTGATAAAAATAGAATCCGTCCCACCTATATAGTCTAACATCACAATCAAACTAACCAGTTTATTTTCTCTTCAATCATGCCAGTGACAATACAAAAGTGACTGAACTGTTTAGCTCAGTGTACTTTGTTCCATGTTGAACTACTAATATAATATATGGAGATATACCTATCTCATAGAACTGGAAGGGACCCTGAAAGGTCATCAAGTCCAGCCCCCTGCCTTCACTAGCAAGACCAAGTACTGATTTTTGCCCAGATCCCTAAGTGGCCCCCTCAAGGATTGAACTCACAACCCTGGGTTTAGCAGGCCAAAGCTCAAACCACTGAGCTATCCCTCCCCCCCTTTTACACTAATGTAAAGCCTTTTTATGTGAGCTACCTGTAATAATACAATAACAATACTTTGCAATTCTTTGACTATACTTGAACACTTACATACACAATTTATTTTTCTTTCCTCTGTCACATTCTAAGGTAAGAGGAGATTACGAAAGCTCCATACCTGTTTATAGAAATCAGTAGAAGGAGACGACCTGGATCTCTCGTGTGTGTACTGGGGTTTCTCATGCTGCTCATGGCTTGCATCAAGGATGTTATCGGCTGAATAGTACTTTCCTGAACTCCTTGGCTCTAGAGGTGTCCTCTGCTCTTTCCAGGATGCCTGATATTCTGCAAATGTTCCCAACCTCTGAGGCTGTTCAGTTTTCACCACTTTGTCTGCAGACTTGTGAGCAAGGTAATGGACATTATCTTTTGCAGCTCGTGTACTTTCAATTCCAAAAGAGGCTGCCCGAGCCCGTCTATCATACCACGACTCCTCACCCTCGTGCCCATGAGCCTTTTTATCAGGCCTCTCAGGCAGACTGTAGGGAGTTTGTTTCTGCGCAGACTTACGATATGTGGGCTTACTCGTTTCTTCAAAGAATTTCCACTTATCTGCAAAAGAGCCCAGGGCTTCGTCAGATGTATTTGGACGGCGGTGGGGATGGCAGTCATCTTCTGACACCCCCACTTCATTCATCTTCTCTGGTTCAGAGTAAGACTTCAGTTTTTGTTCTGATGTGAACCTCTTCCTAGCTCCAATGCGGGAAATATGATGAGTGCCACTCCCTGATGAGTTTGGTTTAGCCTGCATAGCCTCAAGAAAACCTGACACATCTTCAGAAACCCAAGCCAACAAGGAAGAGTTGCAATTATTTGTCTTCCGTTCTGGCGACCTGGGGAGATAATCAGCAGGGCTAGGTTCCAAGTCCCGCCGTTTGAAGGAAGTAGCCCTCAGGACCCTAGCCTGGGCCTCCTTCAGGTGATCCGTGTAGGAGCCGGTAAAAGAACTTTCTGAAGACGTGTTTAAGTTCTCCACTGAATCTGGTTTCCAGTTTTCAGTGTCCTCTTCTGTTTCGCTTGACCCTATTAAGGTAGCAGTGCTTTTGCTTTTCTGCAGCTTCGCTCGCCTCATTTGGATCTCGTTTCTCAGGGTTGTTGCAAAGCGATCACTTCTGCGTGCCTGCTTAGCTGTATGCGTATCAAATGGGGGCTGTCTATCCATTCCAGTTTCCAGGCAGTTGTCAGACTGGTGTTTCCCTTCCTGAGCTAAAGAATGCAAAATTGGGGTCTTCTGAGCAGAAATCTTACTACTCTCTTCTGGTCGCCACCTGATTTCTTTTTGGGCAGCTCTGTGTTCAGTGATAGGGACACAGCTCTTTGTACACTCCTGCTGATTGTAGCTATTGTCATTTTCCTCGAAACTGCCATCAAAGTTTTTCTTTTGACCAGGTTTTTCAGTAAAACTTGGTTTTTTAGGATCTTCCACTACAGTAGACTTAACATCCCCTCCACTGTCCACTACATAGTGACCACTCTTCTCGCGCCCTTCTAGCAAATGCTCGACAGGTTGTTGCGGTAAATAGTATTTTGTTTTTTGGACCATCGTGACTACGGCAGGATTTTCATGTGGTCCAGGGGAAACATCAGCCCCTATTCCAGGTTTCCAACATTCATCCTTGAGCTGTAGTGGCCGTGAGCTTCCCTGCGCAGGCTGTTTTGCTGTGACACAATAATAACGACTCTGTCCAGTGTTGTCCACCTTCTGTTCAGCAGCACCGTTATTAGAAGAAGCACTGGGCATTCTGGCTTGGTTTGGACTGTAGCAGTGAAAGTGGTTGGCAGGTAGCTCTTTATTGCCACTGTAAGAGGAAACATGTCGCTGCTCTTTAGGCGAAGTTGAAGCTCTTGCATGGTGAAAGAAAGTGCTTTCATCGCTGTACTGGCGCTGGTGGTGGTAACCGTAAGCAGGCTGTGCAAACCGAACATCAGTGCTGGACAAAGAGGACTGCAGTCTGTTAGCATTTCCTGAATTATTGTTGTACCTATCACCAGCAGAGGACAAATTGTAGTCCACACTAATATCAGATTTGTAGTTGGAATTATTGACCCTCTTTCCATCTGTGCTCCTGTCACTTGCCCTAACAGGTCTTCTTGGTTGTTCTGCAGTTTCTGAGATCCAGTCCCTCCTGTGCTGAGATTGGTTCAGAACTGTAAAGTGCTGGGTGCTGGCACCCTCTGAGTACACTGAACCATGGGCCTTCTCATGGCCTTTGGTAATAGCAAAGCTGTCACTACGGAGAGGTGGAGGTGGTGGTGGAGGGGAAGATGATTTTTTATCAGGAACATGCCAGATAGGTCCAAAACTTGATCTTCCAGAACCAGAGAGCTTGGAATCGGGCTGTTCCTCCAATCTAGGGCTCTTTCTAGTCTCATATTGAATGGGAAGTGGCAAGTATCCAGGTTTGTCCTCCAGTCCACTGTTATCATTCACTAACTGGCCAGTCTTGCTGTTTCCATGCTTTGCAGTGTCCCAGTGGCCTACTTTGTACAGCATGTTCTCCGTTGAAGCAGCATCCATGTTGGACAGAGTGTGATCAGGGGTACTCGAACTAGTGGAGAAAGAGCCATAGGCGGAATCCCGCTTGCTTTGGTTCCCTACATGATCAATGCTATTGTTGGACTTTGCAGAGGAAAGCCTTTCATACTGGGATGTTTGGAGAGTGTGGTCCCAGCTGTCCATACTTCCCAGGGAACTGAATCGCTCAGACGTGCGATGCAGATTTGACTGATCCCATGAGTTTGACAGGTCATGAGAGGAGGAGCTACAACAGAAGAACATACAATACCGTCAGCAGTAAGTCAATATACTTACAACAATGAAGCTGATTTTAAATGGGGGGTTGGTACTATCCATCCACACAGCAATTATCAGAGAGAGACATGAGCACATGTCTCCTAGTGGTTTGAGCAGGTGGAGTCAGGGCTTCATCCTTCCTCCACTATTAACACAGTGCCTGAACTTCAGCAGCTGCGTCTCAAGTTTATCTTCCTGCACAACAGGAATAATGAGGTGTAAGAAAGTCTACTTCTCCTCCTCCCCTTCGTGTAAGATCATGTTGACATTCAAAGAAAAGTCTGACCTCCCTCCCTTCATCCCCATCTCCTGATACCAAACCCTAAAGTTTCCAATTTACTTTCTATCTCCAATATCATCACCAACCCCATTCCCTCCCTACTAAACTCTTGCCCCTTCTCCCTCTTTCTTAACTTTGCCTGTTTCCTTTACAAAACCTCACCCTTAATCCCACCTGCTTCTCCAAACACAACCCCACCCTTCACTTCTAAACCACAATGTGCTGCTTGCAACCACTGCCACAAATCCCGCTCTCACCCTGCGTGTGCTCTCTCTCTCTTTCAACACAAAAGGTTTCAGCTACCATCACTTTGCCAATAATTTACAAATCTATCACACCTCCTCACTCCCTACATCCCATCCTGCAACTCAGCACAGCTCTCCAACATCTCTTCCCAGGAGCTCTGCTATCAACTTCAACTTAACATGGCCAACACTCAACTCCTGGCCTTTCCTCCCTCAGAAATTCTTCCCACTCCGTCACTAGTAACACAACCACCATCCTCCCAGTCATTCAGGCCGTCAGCACTGCCCTCTCTCTTTTACTCATTCAGACTGCCCCCAAATTTTGCTGCTTCTTCCTTTATAACATTGGTTTTTGCCCATAGCTAGAATTCTTGCCAAGGCTCATGTCTCTCATCCTGGCTACTGTTATCTCCGCTCCCCGACACCCACCTCTGGTCCATACAAAACAGCTATTACGGCCATCATCCTTGCCCACTACTCTGACCACATCACTCCCTCTTTGACCCCTGTGTGATGCTGTACCCCATAATGCTTTATGGGAATATGCTTATGAATGTATATATGACATAACTGGAATATGTTCTATGCTACATATGCCATGTAACAAAGCTCTGTAAAGGTTATGATCTACTGAATATATTCATCCTATTTGTATGCATGTATCATTTTTGTATTCGAAGTTATTAATATTGGCTATGTATTTGTTTAATTTTAAGTAGCTTCAGTGAAGCAGTTGGTCAGCTTCCTGAGAAAAGACTATTCTCAGTAAGTGCCCAATCAAGAAACACTTAAGCTAACAATGAACTTGGAGATGCCAATCCACATCTGAGCTTTCCCAGGAATGTGACCTGGCTGGTAAGGAACTCAGTCATGCATGTACATGTGACTTGCCCATGTGACTCCAAAACTCCATCTTGGAGCTGAATTCTGGATAGGAGAGAGGAGGGGACCTGCACCCACAAGAGAAAGTCTGTTTAAGCCCCTGGGAGACCCCTCCATTTTGTCTTCAGCTGGTTCAAGAGATATCCTTTGGGGGTGGAGAGGCTACCTGAAAGAAACTGGAACAAAGGACAGTAACCACAGGGGTGTTAGTGATTGCTGGACCCAGACTAGAAGGAGGCTAGTCTGTAAAAGAAGCTTACTGGAACATCTCTGAGGGTGAGATTTCATCTGTAATCACTTTCTTACTGTATTAGGTTTAGACTTGCGTGTTTTATTTTATTTTGTTTGGTAATTCACTTTGTTCTGTCTGTTATCACTTGGAACCACTTAAATCCTACTTTCTGTATTTAATAAAATCACTTTTTACTTATTAATTAACCCAGAGTATGCATTAATACCTGGGGGGGCAGACAGCTGTGCATTTCTCTATCAGTGTTATAGAGGGTGAACAATTTACGAGTTTACCTTGTATAAGCTTTATACGGGGTAAAACAGATTTATTTAGGGTTTGAACCCCATTGGGAGCTGGGCATCTGAGTGTTGGAGACAGGAACACTTCTTAAGCTGTTTTCAGTTAAGCCTGCAGCTTTTAGGGGACGTGGTTCAGACCTGGGTCTGGGTTTGTAACAGGCAAGCATGTTAGGCAAGGCACTGAAGTCCTAAGCTGGCAGGGAAAACAGACTCAGAGGTAGTCAAAGTACATCAGGTGGCAGTCCCAAAAGGGGATTTTGTGATCCAACCCGTCACACCCTGATATTAGTTCTCCCTGCTTCCCCGCACTAAATTCGAGCTTTTTTCCTTGCATTCAAGGCCCTTCACAACTTTGCCCATCCCTACCTTTCCACTCGCCATTTATCACACTTTTAGAAAACCTGACCTATGAGGAAAGGATTAAAAAGCTGGGGATGTTTAGTTTTGAGGAAAGAAGACTGAGGGGGGACCTGATAACAGTCTTCATATATGTTAAGGGCTGTTGTAAAGAGGACAGTGATCAATTGTTCTCCATGTCCACTGAGGGTAGGATAAGAAGTAATGGGTAGGGGAGATTTAGCTTAGGTTTTGGGAAAACCTTTTTAATTATAAGGATAGTTAAACTCTGTAATAGGCTTCTAAAAAAGGTTGTGGAATCCCCATCACTGGAGGTTTTTAAGAATAGGTTGCACAAACACCTGTCAAGGCTGATGTAGGGTTGGACTTGATGACCTTTCAAGGACCCTTCGAGCCCTACATTTCTATGGTTCTATGTATTATGAAGCTTATCAAGCACTTTGTGGTTCTTGGATGAAAGGCACTACAGCAGTTCAGAGGGGAGAGCAATTATACCTACATGACTATATAGCAGATTGAAATTAACCAGACTCTGGCCAGATTCTGCAGTGCTCCTTAGAATCCCATGAGCAGCAGAGAAACTGTCAAAAACCATGCCAATTTGTAGAAATGCTTAGGAAAGCTAAGAGCAGAAGCAGAGGCAGGCACTTAAGTTATATACAGAGTAGGATGACCTAAGAAATGGAGAATAGGATAAAGTAGCAGAGACCACTGTCTTCCCTGCCTCTTCTCACAAGGCAGGAGAGCAGAGGAGGTATTCAGTAGTGGAGATCCACCCTACTTTTCAACAACAATGAAGCTGTGGATGAGGAGCAGAAGACCACCCCACCCCTTGAAGAAGCTGAGCCACATGAGGGAAGGGGAGAAGAAGGCGGCTCCTTTTTCCTTCTAGTAGCTAGAGAGGCAGAGCATCAAACTTATCAGACACTGCTAGTCAAAGACTGGTACAAAACGGACTGATTTCTCACACAGGCACAGAACAATGCTAGAAATTCCAGCATTGTTCCACTTCTCTAAAACTACTATATAAAGTGTCTGTAGCAAGGTTGAGACTCACCGGTGCAGCGCCTCCTGCTGGTCATCTTGGGAATTACCTCAACTCCAGCTACGGAGCGCCTCCTTCTGGCTGGTGTCTCGCCTGCCTTAGGCCCCATGTCCTTGCCGGACCCCGGTACCCCTTTCCTCAGGGTTCTGCCCCCAGCAGTACCCCCTTACTCTGGGTTTCCCCTCGCAGGGGAACCCCCAATGCTCTAAACCCACCTTGTCTCAGTGGCTACTGCCCGCCATCATCTAGCCCCTGCTCACTGGGGCAGACTGCAGTCTGTAATAGCCACTCATCATTGGCAAGGGGATAGGACCAGCTGCCTCTGCCTATTCCCAGGGTGCACCTCTGTAGCCCCTGTAACTTTGTAAGCCTTCACCAAGGCCTGCAGCCTGGGGGTTTACTAGGCTGGAGCTCCACAGCTCCTCTTGCCCTTCCCCATCACTGCTATACTTCAGGTACCTTGCTCTCAGGCAGCTAGCCCTTCCTACTCCAGGGCTAGAGTGAGACTTCCACAGCTCCTGGCCCCCAGCCATCTTATCAGGGCCAGCTGGGCCCTGATTGAGCTGGCAACACCTGTGGTCAGCAACTCCCTCATCTGCTCTCACTCCTTTTATCCCAGCCACAGCCCTCTCCAGGACTGTTTTTAACCCCTGTTCTGCGGGAATGGGGCAGCCACCTCACTACAGTGTCCATCAAACTTTTTGTAACACACACAGTGAAAGCTAATAATTAAATTATATATCCATTTAATGGTCACTCTTGTATAGTTTAGATACAACAGAATTCCTCTCTCTGTCAAGAAATTTAAATGGAAATGAACACCCCTCTCTAGTCCTGCGGTTTACACAGCAGTTGCTAAAATGGCAAAAGAAAAATTGCCTTTGAACTTTTTTCATTTCACTCAATACGGTCAGAGGCATAAAATTAAGACATGGTGTTTAATTATACAACCAGGATGACCAAGGAAGCAAACAGCTTATGTAAAACACACAAAGATATAAACTATATCGCTTTTTCTTTTCAAACAATATTTTTAATGATAGGGCGCACTAACATATGGCTTTATATGGGGACTTTCATATTCTAAGTGTTCAAAATATTTAACTAATTAATTAGAGAGATCTTGATAGTAGTACATTAGGCAAATACAATGTTTCACACAGAAAGTGCCTTGGACATTAGAACCTTTTTCATTGTTAAGGAATGTATGGCAGGACATTGGGGCTCCTGCTGGTTTTTATTTGTTCAGTGATAACAGCATGCTTGGCATTGATCAAAATGAAGGAGAGACACTATCCCTCTTAATCCTAATTTGCAATTCATGGGTCTAATCTGAATCCACTGCCTTCAGTTGTGAACTGTAGGTACTCAGCACCCCTCCAGATCAGGCTGTAAATAATTATTCTCTACTCTGACAAACAGAACTTTAAGTTTCATCTGGGTAGCCATGGGAGATGAGCAGAAAGCATATCAGTGTAACACCTCTGTCAAAATACATAGTAATGACTTCTAGTCTAAAGTGCTATACAACTAGTCTAAAGTGCTATACAACTAACATCACAACTCAGAAGTATAGCTGTAAGAATTTCTGGATATTTGTCTGGCTGCATGTGGTCTCCTGCTCTGTTCAGCAATGTAAGTGGAATGCCGCCCATGTACTATTTAAATACACAGTACAGTGCCAGGTAAGCTGAGAGGAAGCATTATCAAGAAGTTGAGAAATAGAACGTATAAAAGCCCCTCTAGCAATAAAATGTTACAATGTAAAGATGTGGGGGGAGGATCAAAATGTGCGGGATTTTCTTTAAATAAAAATTAGTACTTGTATTACTCTTTACGGGCTGAATGCAAACTATTTTTTAAAAAATAGCAGGGAACTTTTTAAAAGATCTAATTAGTTACAGCTTCATAAAACGAAATCCTAAAGTAAGGGGGTGGGGCGGGTTGTACCACAAAGTATTAAGAAAAGAAAGCTATGATGGAGAATCTACAGCAATAAAGTACAGAATCCCAAGACAGCTTTATAACTTAGGAATGTATCCCAGAGTGATTTCCCCTAATTCCTAGCATAACTATGCTCCAAATTGGAGTTAAATTGAGAGGAAAATAACATTTTCATGAGGTTTGTTGCTAAAAGAGTGTAATTTATAAGGAGGAAATTAATAAGGTCTTGTAATCAGATCCTATCATGCTCTACTAAAAAATGAAAGAAGTTTCACGACCAAAACAAAGATGCCAGGATTTCCATTACAGGGTTGAATGAGACCTAACAAATGTAAGTATTTTAACTATAGAAAGAGACAGTCATTGACCTCTCTCTTGCTAGAAACAAACACTGAACATGTACCAGAGTGGAGATCAGATTATGGGAAGTAATTTCACTAATGAAACAGTCAATATCTTAATGTCTAAAACAAAAATGCTCTGCCTCCCCTAAGAGAGAGTTTATATTCCTTTTCAAAGAATCTTGCTTTCTAACAATACCTCTGGTATTTTTCCATTGTACTGAAGATATTAATGCATTTAGTATACCCTTCCACCTGCCCTTACAAAGATTTATGACACTAAAAAGTGGATGTGGAAAAGAAATGCACAGCAAGAAAAAAACACCTTTCAGCTGCCTTTTATTTACATACGTACATAATGAAATATATTCCTGAACTAAATTAATATTAGCAGCTCTTCACCCACTTGTTGATATATTGGGCATTCTCAATATTATCTTCACATTTTAAAAACAGATTACAATATAAATGAAATCAAAAGATTTCATGTTCACGGTTTAAAATCATGAACAATATGAGGCACATTATTGTTCTCTTACCGTGGGAGCTTGATACGTGCAGCTTAAACAGAAACTCACCTTGCATGATACCGGGAGTGCCAGGAAGTGCAGACATTGGTTGAGGAGAGCTGTGACGTGGCTGCCTCAGGCTGATTCTCTGTGAATTTGGTTGCATGCCAGGAGTGGGGCCTGCAGGCTAGATCATTTCTTCTGAAATGAAAGAGTTAGAGCACATACTTTTAATACAGATCTCCTAATAAGGTGACATGCAGTGAAAAACATTGGGCACCAAATCTAATTAACTTGAGAGAGACAAAACAGATGCAAAATAAGTTTAAATTACAATGTGCTATGTAATGCTCGACAAGCCAGTTTTGAAAAGATGCCAACTTGCCTTCAAAACACTTGACACACAGACAATGAAACATTAATTCAATGCAAGGTTTGTGGTTGTATTTTTAAGACAGGTAAATAAGTACCTAGAATTTATTCGGAACTTTCACTATTCAAAGGACCAGTGAGCTTTATGTCTCATTTTATAACATGGCGACTCTTGAATAAGATTTTGTAAAGTTTGTTGTGTAGGTGTGTATGTGGGAAGGGCTGGGGAGGAGAGAGATTAAGGACTGGAGGAAGGACAAAGCCATAAATATTTTTATTCTATCCCAGTTTGTAAGGGTGACAGAGGCCTGACTTCTAACACAAACCCAGTTCTGCTCTAGCATTCAAATGACTCAGAGCATCCAAAATAAATTAAAGGTTAAAGCTGTGTATCTAAAGTTAGCACCTAAGTAAAATCACCTACCTTTCAAATATGCTAAAGACCAGCAGTTCCCATAGAAATCAATGGGAACTGTGGGTGTTCTGCCCCTCTGAAAGTCAGATAATTTATGCAGGGGCCTAAATATTGGTTCAGATGCATAACTTTAGTCCAAAACTTTTCACCTAAATAATTCCAGAGACCCCCTATTTACCAATCCAAATAGTAAGTCTCTAGATTTTGGTCTTCTAGAATCATCCTGTGAAACCGTTCTCAACCTTAATGCTTTCACCCCACTGTAGCTTGACAATTATTTAATGATAATAATGATAATAGTAGTAGTAGTAGTAGTAAAGTCCTTGAATGGAAGTGCAAATTATTATTAATTAAGTCTTAAGTAGGTAAATATTATTGGATAAAATTTTCAAAAGTACTTTAGGTGACTCAGGAGCCAATATACCTTTTTCAAAAATGGCTTAGGCACTTTGAAGCCTAAGCTTCATTGAAAGTCAACGGGACTTTGGACAATGTTCCCTAGCAAGCATAAGTAACGTATCCAAGATCACAGAGCTGCAGCCAGAACCCAGAACTCCTGAGTCCGATCCTTTAACAGACAGACATCTTTTCCTTCCCTTATTCACCCTCTTTCTTTTAACTGGATTATAAAATAGTCACTAGATTTAAAACAAACTAAGCTAAATATTTAACTCGGCCTCTCTCCCCCAGTGCAGAAAAATCCCTTTTTTGAGACTCTTTGTAGCAACAGACAACATGGAAGGTTGTGCCAGGTTCCTGTTAACTGCCTTCCCATATTCTCCACATACAGTACATAAAGTATTTCCACAAGGCAGCTGTAGTTTTACTGAGAGGTCCTGGGGCCACGGAGTACAACAGGGGCTCCTATAAGATTACCAGAAATCCTAGGCACTTCAGTAGGCTTTTGTTTATGTTTTTGGTGCATTTGATTTGCTGCAATGAACAGAAGCAAATTCATTCTAGACTATTCTCTTTCCATGATGCCAGGTAGTTTCACTGCTCTCTGTCTCAGAAGCAACGTGAAGAAAGTAAGTTAAGTGGAGCTATCACACTGTCATTGCACACAAGCTCCAGGAGTGGGACTCAAGGTCTTCATCCCAGGAGCAGAAGCTCAGCCTTGTGTAGCGCGCCTCAGGACATATCAGGCATTCTCCTAGAGCAGCAGTTCTCAAACTTTAGCAACCCGAGGACCCCCATTTTGATTTACAATTTTTCATGGACCCCAAACCCCCCACTCAGCCTCAGGCCCCGTCCCCACTCTACCCCTTCCCCCAAGGCCCCACCCCCACCCCACCTCTTCCCGCCCGTTCCACCCTTGCCCCTCCTCTTTCCACCTCCTCCCTTAAGTGCGCCCCATCCCCGCTCCTCCCTCTTCCTCCCAGCGCCTCCTGCACGCTGCTGAACAGCTGTTCCCCAGCATGCAGGACACGCTGAGAGGGAGGGGAAGAGGTTGATCAGCAGGGCCAGCGGCCCCAGACATGATTCCACCCCCTCCCCCGAGCCCATCCTGTCCCCGCTCCTCACCCTCCCTCCCAGCACCTCCTGCACACTGGGAAACAGCTGCTCCCCGGCATGCAGGAGGCACTGGGAGGGAGGGGGAAGAGTTGAGGGAGGGAGGGAGGGAGGAGTTTTTTATTTAGCAGCAGCCACCAGGAGTTTATTTCCTCAGTTTATTTCAGTGCTGTTGATATTGGAGAAGTAAACTACAGTTGTCTTTTAGGTAAATTCATGACACCTTTAGTGCTTCAGTTCTGCCATCAGTGCAACAAAGAAGTTAAAGTCTCTATATTACGAGAAAATGACCTTTTTAACACATATGACAAGTGAAACACAAGACTAGAAAACTACCACATCACAGGTAACATTTGGTGTATGAGGAAATGGAAGTGGGAGGAGAGGACTTTCACACTGGTTTCCTCTAGGTTTGGCAAAAGGAATGAGACATTCTGCAAAGGAGAAGGAATGGGAATGATGCACTTTATAAAACCAGTACTGTACCTCATGGAACTTCTCAAGATCTTCGTAAGATAGCTCCTGGCCACATGAACATCATTTTCAGATGGCATTTTCTGTGCTACAATATCCACCATCACTTTCATCTTCCTGAGCAGCCAAGCAAGGAGAGGAACAGACTGGACTGAGTTGGGATATGAGGCAAACTGAGTGGAGGAGAACTTTAGGCTTTTGTTTCACATCTTTTATTGGTGTGCATACATGTGTTTTGCAAAATATTTTTTTAGCCATGGACTTGGAATTAAGTGAATCGCCATATGAATAAAACAGACTAAGTGCATTATAATGGGTTATTTTTTGGGATAGAATCAGCACAGGCTTATTGTATGCTTTCACAAAAAGCATGACTAGGAATCAATATACTACAAGTAGCCAAATACCAACACTTCTTCATTGTTATATCTTTCCCTGTTCAGTTGTCTTATATTTACCACTTCCTATATTCCAAAAAGGTCTCTATAAATAAGACAAAACGTAATATGAAATTAATTGTAAAACTCTAAGTGCAAATAGGTAAAAGAACTGGAAAGAAAAAGGAAGATATTAAAAATCACATTAAAAAGATGGAAAATTTTGCAGTCAACTAAAGCTGTTGGAAACACACCAGCTAGTACAATACGGCTGTATAACTCTGAGTGACAGAATGAGAGCACCTAAATCTACAATCCAGGAAACCTCTCCGGAGTTAATGGAAGCATTAATAAAAGCATTTCCTTGAGTCTCTTCCTAACAGCACTTTATATTCCATTGGGGATGGAGGGGGCATTTCCCCATGTGCTATGAACATTTTTACTTCATTAGAAAGAAGTCTCAAATTACATATGTGTAAAACAGAATTGCACTTAAATAAACTCTTCCACTCGACTTTCAGAGCAGAATCTGCCTTTTCAACACCACGGAAGTTGTAATATGGACATAGACATTAGAATGGCAGACATCTTGAATCTCAAAAGCTCTGAGCTTAGAAATTCAGAACTAGTGTTCAGATAGTTGCCAAGAAAACACTGCTGCTGAAAATCTGATACCAGTAGAAACAGATATTCCCTAGACCAAGAACCAAAATTATTAGCTAAATTGGACCAGCAGGTTTACTTGTAAACATCACCAGTAAAAATCTCCACAATATCTGGCTACTGAATCCAAATTGTAATTTCAGATTAGTCTGAATTCAGACTAAACTTCCCAATTTAGAGTTTAGATAATTTCAATTTGTTCTTGTCTAGATGTACATGTTGTATTAGTGAGTCCATTAAAATTAAGGGGCTTGAGTCAGCTCTGACCAGAGCTAATAAGAGTAAATGCAAAGAAATCAATGGAATTACACTGGTGTAAAGTACTATTATCAGTCAGATCCAAATTAGTGCCATACAGTTTGGATATATTCTATATTAATTCAGGTGACATTCAATTAAACGGGGAATAGGGAAAACAAAAACAAAATTTTTTTTGAAAAAAGTTATTCCAAACTAAGTTCTGCCCCTTTGCTCACTTCCACAGAATACCAAGTTGTAAATTCAGCAAGACACCTTTTCACATTTAGAGTCCCAAATAAAGAAAAAATTTAGTACTAGCTAGCACAACTTCAGGGCAACCGCACCTCTGTTCCCCCTCTGTGGTCCACCAAAGGCACCCACTTTAGGGTTCAGGCTTCCAGACATCACCACTCTTGGGCAGAGACAAATGCCTGTCTGCCTCCTGACTGGGGATTTTAAGGGTGCACAACTCTCTGCCTTACACTGTGAAATGCCCAGCAAACCAGACCACCTAGAAAGGCCAGAATCTGTGCTTTGGTTTCTCTCTGAGGGTTATGACCAGTGTATTGTCCACAATTATAAACAGGCTTGGCAGAATTTGATTGTTTTTGTCAACTGATAATATCAATGCTTCTTTTTAAGCATTTTTTTCAATTTTTAATTATTTAAATTTTCACAGTTGTGCAAAATTATAGGTGTGGGGGGTCAGACAACAGGATGGATCAGACAATAATTATTAATGTAGACATTGAGAGTCAAAAAATTAAAGCTTTATAACCATTAAAACACAGCTTGTCAATTTCACATGTCAAAATATCCGAAGTAAATATCCTTAATCCTAAATCAAACTCTAATATGTTCTTAAGCAGCATTTTTCTTACTTTGCCTATCTGTACATTTCTATTATTATTGATGAAAATATTTTTCCTTCAGTTTGTGTTTGTATGGTTACATCAACATACACCAATAAAAATCTAATTCTTCCAAACCTAGTTATAAATTACCATACAACTCCTTTTAAGCAAGCAGATTTATTCTTAGGGTAAAGGTATTACAGAGAAAACGTATTAAAACAATAAAAGAACCTATATGCATACTAAAAAGCTTACCAGAGGTCACCCCAATTCCAACCTAGGGTTCTCTTAGGT